GACTTGACCGAATCAGAACGATTATCAAAAATGCACATTTTAGCTCCATTTTAATGAACCAACTACTTGTTTAGCTTGCTTAGCAGGCTTCATATTCATTCTCAATTTTTGCACTATCACACTGTGTCCGTGGGCCATGTGCTTGTCCGCTGCGGTTCAAGTTGACTTGCAGGACTGCAAGTTGACTATTGTCAATTTCTTTTTAGCTTTTTCCTGTACTTGCTGGTCTTTGTTACGTGCCTCGGTTCGGCTCGCATGTGAGATGTCGGTCTTACAGGGCCTTGTTTTATTTTTTCCACTACTTTCCAGTATTTAACGCATTGTATGAAGTCTCTGCGCGTTAATTTGTTTTTCACGTGCAGCAATGGGGCCTTAAACCTTTACGGTCTTGACTTACGTGTCTAAGCGAGCCACATTTGAAGCATCATGTACCATCAACTTTGTTGCTTTAAATTCCTTAACGCTGTGTCTCACCTTCTAGTAGCAATCATATATCAACAAGTAACCTTATTTTTCTGGTAAGCGATACGTGCTTCCTAGCTTCACCTTTTTCAACAAAAGGAGTTTTCTGGCCGGTTTACTAGGAATTATTACTGTACTAGATCAAGAACCTTCAATGCCGTTTCTGGATTTCAACGAACGATGTTTCATGCCCCTAAGAAAACTCAGTGTGTCGGCTTCATTTTTTTCCTATTTTTTTCCTATAAGGGCATCTAAAAAGGAGTCACCGTTTTTTAAGACAACAGCCTTCCTAAAATATTCTTGAGCTCTAGCGTCTTTGCTTATGGTCGCGTCAAAAAACTCACTTCATCACCTTAGTTTCCCGCACTTTGATCAGCAGGCCTTCATCCTGTATCTCATTGATAACTTTTTTCCCTGCATTCGCTTGTTCTGGTTGCATATGTAATTTTATGTCTATGAGTATTATTTCAATTTTTTTTTTACCTTACTCAATTTTTAAACTTATTATGCTTAATCCCACATATTCCGCCGACCTAATACCCTGTGTTTCGAACAGCGTTGCATCTTGCTTATCCCGTTCAAAATCTGGTTGATGTTATTTTCTCGGGAGTACATATCTACGCTTTTCGGTTTTTTTTTTCACTTTAAACTCCTCCAAGATACGAATAAGTGATATCTTTTATGCTTAGCTCCTTTGTCTTGATCACCATTTTCAAAATAACTCTAAAAAAGCCCTCTGCGGACTCAATGGAGATATTGTGGGCATTACTGGTCAAAGGGCATCAGGGCCTGTGTGTCTTTCTCATCGACCATTTCAAAGCATTCATAGTTTCTCCGAACAGCTGTGGAGTCAATTGAGAGAACACATGCTCTAGGAGATAACGGAAACTGGTTGGTGAATCGTCTAAGAATTGCCGCATTCTTATCAGAGGCTTTAGTAAAGAGCATAGCTCTGGGTTGGGAATAAGCGCTTGGATGCTTTCGTCGCACACACTAGACCGCAGGAAGAGCTTATTCGGCTAATCCCTGACTAGTGTTTTCGCTTTGCCTCCAGTAATCATCGCTTACTCTAGTCTTTCTCTTTTAACTTTCCACATTTCACTTTGTGCACAAAAGTTTCACTTTTTGATTGTATTTACCTACTGCTTCCTTCTCGCAATCATCTGGGTTTCTCTTCAGTTCTTTTAACTTTCTCCTTGTGGGCTTTGTCCTCTTTCCAGTGTGCCTCATCTTTCTCTTCTGTCAAAACTGTCTCTTATATAATTCATTCATCCTAGGTACACCCTTAAATAATTTTCTGAGTGCGACCTTCATATATGTCCGGATGTTACCTGGGCAGCCTGATTAAACTGTCTACTTTGGAAACTATGTTATTCAGAACTGATGATATTGGGTGCCTTTATTGATGCCGCGCCTTTTGCCCAACCGCATCTGGTTAGAAAAATTCAAATTTATGTGGTCTTGAACATACAATTTTTTAAACGAAGTAAGCTATTATTAATACTTGTGTGCTATTTGATGACCTTGGATTATCTCTTTCTCAGAAATTCGTCGACTTTGTTTTCTATGTCCACCGGTGGGAGCTTTGTTCCCTTTCCTGCTGCGACAGGTGTGGTTCGTACTAGACTCCGCCTTGTCACGCATTATCTCACCCTGATTTAAACCGTAAAGTTTATCCTTTCGTGGGTATGGTTCCTTTGAATAACCTTTGGAGAATTCTAGGGTTGTACCGTCCTATTGTTCTCTGCAAAGGACCATTCATGATTCTTGCGAAAAACCTGCTCACGGAGCGGATAAACAAAATACTGCCTTGTTAGAGATAAATTCACGCTGTTTTGCTAACCGTCTGATCTATTCAAACCAACGAGTTGGTAATCATCAAACAGTTATCATACTATCTCTTAGCTCTTCGCAGTAACAGCCAAAGATAACGCTGATCGGAAAAGGAAAATTTCTGTTGCAGTAAGCGCTGTAGAGTGGTAAAAAAAGACTGTGCATATCTTGCGCCAACTTTTGATTAAGGACCGCCAGTCACAAATATGTCAAGATGTCATTGCCCGGAGTATGGTCACCTACTTTAAAGTTGTTATATCGCCGTAGTTGTTGTTGGACACACTGAATGTCTAATTTAGCTACCGTAAAATAAGCCCTGTTTGTGTCCTAAGCTGAGAACGTACCTTACACACAACCCGATATACTGTTAAAAAGCCTAATTTCCTTATTGTTTGATCTCGAAAACGGGATTCCGGGTCTAAACACATCTGCACAGCGTGGATGCCTTGTCTTCAGCGGTGGAACCACCTAGCTTAGAGCTAAAAGTCCAACAATTGCTAGGCGATTTTACTAAGAGATACCAAAAGACTTATGGGACGCCACATAACAGTTATTAATGCTTATACGATGAGCTACAAAAGCAGGATTATGTAAGAAATGAAAATAAGCGTCGATTAACTGTTTATATAATTTGAGGATGCTTTTTTTCTACCGTGTATCTGCCATACCACCGGAATACTCTTCATGCATACAAATTTAAGGTTATAACGAGAAATATTTCTTTTCGACTCGATCTCCCTCAAAATTGAACCTTTTAGTGGTGGTTCAAAGGTCTTTCTTCGGTTGTTGTCGTGATGCTCCATTCCATTTCAGATGGTTCTTCCTCAAAAATTAAGTGAGCAATTATGTGGGTTCTTCAATTGTACTACATGTGTGGCCATGGTGGTCGGCAACGTTTTTCTTTAAAATAACTAAGGTATAGAATCAGGTGTACTGCTGCATATTTTAAGTGATTCTCTGATTTAAACTTGCTTTCTTAGAAATCCTTTTAACCTTTATTCATATTATGTTAAATAACTTCTCATATGAAGCGTAAAGTACTACTGCGGGATTATCCTAAAGAAAGCCCATAACTGGGTCCACCTTAGTTGCTCACCGAAACCAGCGCGGAGCAAGCTTATGTAACAAAAAGTCAACTCTAATGTGAAGTATTATGTGTCGTTGTCCTTCATCGGTTGTTATCTATCCGGTCTGTTGTATCAGTGAAATATAAACCCGTAACGTCTGTACCCTTGTGAACGAATTACAGCCCCTGGGATTTGGGATAATTCAACGAAGGTGCGCATAGCTATTATCGTCTCTCACCTTTATCCTTGGTGTTAGCTGTTACTTACCACTAGAAACGTCTTGCATACAGTGGCGTTTTAAAAATTTACTGTGATATGTCCTTTTCTAAATCGCATGTTTAACATCATTTCCAGATAATGCGCTGAAGACAATGTGTAACTTTCAGTCCGAAAGTATGTCATAAACAAAATTTGTACAAACTGAATGAAACAATCAACAGGGTAGAATTTTTCACAGTCTCAGGTAGTTTTATGGCCGCGAATATAAACGTCGAGGAACATAAAATAGCACTACTCAAATGTTTGTGAACGTGATTTTCCAATGCTTTGTCGTTAAGAAATATATTCACGTTTGTATATTTTTGATGCTATCCAAGTTGACTTATTTCTCGCCTGTTTAGCAGCCACGTTTCAAGCAATACGCGGATATAATTGAGGTTATTCAAATCATGTCTGTAAAATGTTTCAAGACTATATTATTCAATTTATATTAGTTTGACGTTAAAATAGCTTAAACGTATTGTTTTTACTGAACATTCTAATAATATGTATGCCTTGGATCTTGAAAGCAATATCGAACTCAATCGCTTGAACCTGTAGTACCGTGCAATAAAATGATTGCTCGAATCATTTTAGTGTACGTTATCAGAATATACAGATACCCATTGTCGCCACTAGGTAAGGAGAATTTCCTAAAAGCACGGTACTCGCTTCTAGCGTTTTAGAGATTGCTCCGTAGAATAAACGCTAAAGAGTAGCCCCTATTTTTTAGGTGATGTGTTTTTAGCTTATATATATTTATAGTTTATATGATGATTTAAACTGTAACAAGTATTAATGTGAATCCGTTACAGATATTCAGCCATTATGTTTTTCCGTTATTTAGAGGTCTGCGCATTGCTGGTGAAATTTTTCTTAAACAAACGAATTATTTCACTTGCTATTGTATCACTGTAGCTTCGCATAGGGCCGATACAGGAGCTCGTATTTGTCCAATAACTCCACATGTACTTGTCGTCATTTTTATGTTAGCACTCTGTGATCGAAGAAATACGAAAAACACGTTAAATCATCTAATGGAGTATTGAGGCGTTACATTGACCTGCATTTCGTATTGTACATTTTTTTATAGCATTTAGGCAACTAAGATCGTTAAACAATCGAAGTGACATAATCAGATGTAAAAATGTATTAAACCTTTTATAATATTTGTTCTTGTTTTTTAAAGGTTGTGGATTTTTCAAAATCCTGAGTCAAAAATATAGCGAAGCCTATTTTTAGGACTCCTTATTGGTATCATACTTTTGAAACTTATTAACAAGTTACGCCAGAAATCAAGGAACCACAATAAAAGCATAAATCATCAAATGACACAAATACATTTATTCTAAGCAACAAAAATATACATTGGAAGTCGATTTGTGTAAAGTCCCAAGCACAATAAGCATTTTACCTTATGAATGAGACTTGTTGCTGCGTTAAGTAATAGTGACAAAATATACTATTGTTGTACATAATGCTTTTCATGGCTTTATTTGTGCGCCTACCTATGAATTGGTAAATAAGCGCAAACCAGTGTTCTAACTACATACTAAGTAGTACGTTATAACCAAATGTAATTATGGTAAATATATAATGACAAGTTTGAACATAGTGGTTACCTGTCAATCGTCTGACTACGTAATCTAAACAATTGTTGCTCTGTGACCTCAAAGACTTTTAGGAAGTTATGACGATTTCCTGGCGTCCGCAGCAATTTTCTGCAATTGTAGCGCCAATGATCACCGCGGTTCACACACCTCCTGCTTTGGCCACCACTAACTCCAGCATTCTTCTTGCCGTGACTTGCAGATTCCTGTCGAACACCGAACTTTTAAAGAAACAATAGACTTGTTGCATCTGCTCGATACAGCGACGAGGTGTATGTCCATATACATCTTGGCCTTGGATCATAGAATAGGCAAATTAGTTCACGGCTGGAAAGGCCCTGACTCAATACTAATGCGGTTCCAAGTGTAAAACGCGACGCATTAATTTATTAAGTTTGAATCTTCACTTTCAACTGAATTATACTATCGAGGTCAGTGCCATGAGCAACATTTACCATAGTGCAGTTCTTTTAAGCGCTGGCAATTCCGTAAAACCTTATTCCGTAATACTTAATCATTTTACACTCTCTACTTTAGGTTTTTTTTCTGCATCTAGGCAGACCACTGCACTACAAAATCATTTTTCTTTTTTAATTTCCTTAGATTTTTGGGATATATTGGTGACATTTTTACGGCGTCTTTGTCAATGCAATGAGATTCGTCATCTAATTTAACCTTTTTGGATAACCCCGCCGTTTTTTCCCTGTCTTTCTCTACGTCATAGAGACCTTTTTTTAAGGGACGACTTTGTGTACCGAGTTCTTGGTCAGAGTCGTCTTCTGTATCTTTTCCCTCCGTTTCCTCTAATGTCGTTGTCTGAAAAAGTAATTTGCCGGAAAGTTCAAAATGCCAAATGAGAAGTTGATTTGTTTCAATACAAAAGCTCGTTTTGAGAAGAGGATTATTTTTAATATAGATATTATTGTTTTTGGAAATTACGCAGCGTAAAATAGCTATCTATAGTTAAAATATATAACATTATTACTTTCCACCACAACTTTATCGAAATAAAAAATGCGTGTTATAAAAAAACATCTATATTTTGTGATGAACAGGCAATTTGATCTTGAAACTGGAAGTCTACGATTTATACACCATATCGAAGGAAGTGGCTAGAAAAGCTGGTTTCAAGTTCACGATAGCTTTTCCGTCTATTGAACCTGCACTAGATATTATATTGTATACTAAATTGGGTAACAGCAGCTCTTTTTTTAGAAATTAAAAACAAATCCAAAGTTCTTACGTAAACAATAGTCAGTATCAATCCGTATACTGTCCTACCTGTGCGCAAGTAGTACCAAACATGATTTTTTTCTGATAAAGATTAGTGATTTTAACCAAATTATTAACAATTTTGTTATTGTTGTGCCACCAGATTTTAGCGAAACCAAGTTTTTGAAACATAACGATATTTTGACAATACAGATTATATTTGCAAAAAAAAACTTTATCTAATTATGTGTTATGTACTTCATGGACTCATTGATCCAAAATCACCAGAATGTAAACGACAACTATAACGCCATTTTAGAAAATGTATTTTGCTTTAGCAAAACCCTTCGTACCTAAATGTTGCCCAACCTATAGATTACAATACTAGAAATCAGTCTATAGATGATTTATAGACAATTTGCATTTTACAACGCATTACGATATTTATATTTATTTACAACAATCCACTAATAGTATTATTTTTAATTTCTGACGTGCGAAATATGTACGTTAGCGAGATTTTTGTACCTAATATTCAACAAATATTAGATACAAAGAAAACAAATAATTCAACAGTGTGTCGAGCTTCCTTATGTTTGTATAGTGAGTGTTATCGAGCAATTTAAGTTTTCAGATTAGGTATTTATATTTCAAATCTAAAAATGAATTTTTTCGAGTTGAGTTTCTCATCATAAAGCTTTTAGCCCAAGCCCAGCCACCAAAGATAATCACCATTGCTAGAGTTGCTGTCAATGTTGTCGACACTTCAAACAAGAAAAATAAAGATTTTTTTTTTGGAGTGTCGACAATTCGAAAAAGTCTTTAACGGTTCTCATTATTTGTGGCAGTTGACGCTGGCCTAACAAATTAACTTAATGGTGAAAAAACGGATACTTAAGAAAAACTCCTTTTTAGAACATTGATTAGCACAACACAGCCAGCTACCACCATCGTTCAGTCTCGTCTGATCTCTTTCTTCCCTTCTTCGAAAGCGGGTCTTTCGCAATTAAGTTTCCCTCCTTCCCTTGCTTAAGGGATGGTGACCAGTTACAACCTGCCACTACTAGCAGCACTGCGGCTGCAACAAGAGTCTGCCTCTAAGTGGCATGGCACCCAATCAACTTGCGCTTAGATTTGGCCATTAACCGAAGACAAGATCCAGTGTTGATATCAAACCGTCAACGCCTGCTCGTTTAGGCCGCTTTAAAGAAAACAACACAATTTGTTGTCAGACTCTGGCTGCAAATGCGGAGACATCCATTCGATAGATCAAGTGTGCAACATTTTACGAAGCACTAAGCAACGTATTCTAACAAAAGATTTGTGCCTTTGCGTCCATAAAGGTCAGCTGACTCAACATCTTGGGTCTGCAGGCCATAACAAAAAAAAATTCGCATATTAGGTAAATAAACAATAATGAGTAAAAGAGCGGAGTTCCCAACACAATTATTTAGCGGTGAGGCCAATGTTTCTATTAATGGCTTTGCAAACGAACAATATTGTGCTATTTGAATGACTAAAACCCAAAAGTATTTGTTGAGAAAAAAAAATGCACCCCAAACGTGTCTGATGCGGATTTTGTACCGGGGATTTAGTTGATCTTTTTTTAAATTTTAACCGTAAATGCACAAACGGTTAAGGTGAGCGATATTGGAGGTTGACTAAGTTTTTTGTGTCTTACGTGGGCAGTATGGACCTCGGAAATATGTGGCTCCAACCAAACGGTTCCTTTTTGCTACACAACGATCAAAACATCGTTGTCGTCTTATATACATAAATCACGAAAGTATCTAGTAGATTGTCCAGTGCATGACATTAGCAGTTAGATGTGCACAGTTCCTTCAAATTCTGTAAGAAATAGTCGACAGAATACCGCAAAGAACAAAGACGGTTTTTCGTTTCTGTATGTGCATAAAGCCATTCATTACGCCAGCTTCTCAAGGCAGTCATTGGTGTCCGTGTGATAGTTTAGTAACAATGTCTCCGCCTAAAAATTTTCGAGACATATATAAAAAAATAGATATTGGGAGAAGACCTAACTTGTTCCTTGCTGAAAACTAGCTGGAAGCTGGTTTGTAAGCGCTAACGGCAGTCTACAACGATTACCGGGGGTTTCTAGAGTCAGTCCGCTACGGCGTTAACAATTAGGATGCTGTTTTAAAATATAAAAAGTAAATCAACTTCTCTTAACTAAATAAACTATAAAGACATAGTCTGCAAGATTATGCTAGCAGCACAAAAGATTTTCTATCCTTTTATGCCACTGATTACGTAAGCTTCTTAATACAGCTATGTCGAGGCTCCTGCGATGGTCCAGTGGTAATGTTTCACGCTACAAACACGAGGGACATATGTAAAGGTTTAAGTACAGTAAATATTGAGAGAAGACCCAGTTTGTTTCCGGCTGGGAAATAGATCGAACCAGGTTAACTAGCGTGTTGGACGAAAGACTGGTATATATCTGGTATTCACGAACCCTTAACTCTGAGATTCAGTTAAATTATCGTGTGTAGCTCACATGGATTTTTATGAGCTATGAAATTGACTACTTCGCCAGCCAACGAAATTGACAAGATCCGCTAAATGATGTAGCTGCACTCACGACGACTCACAGTTAATCCATGCCTATATCGACTGTTGTAATTGATGAACCGACAGAAACTATGAGAGTGCTATTAACCATAATATCTCTACCCAGTGTTGTCCCACAAGTACAACCAGCTACCAGGCCGCAGAATATCAGCAAATCTACTCATTAGTGATAGCTTACTACGACATCCTCAAAAAGCGCGTCTACCGATGGCTGTCTGTTATGGTATATCCAGATACACAATCCAAAGAGAGAAATACGCAAAGACGCGCTAAAAAAGTCTGTCCATTGATGACAGTCTATTCCCCGCGCTGACGGGCCAATGTTAGCGCAGAGACAAACGAAGCATGTGTGATTTTCTTCAATACACAAGGTACTCACTATCGAAAGCCATATATCCAGTTGCAATGCCGGGTGGCTAGTTCGACATAGTTCCTTTTTCGCACTACCATATTTCAAGGTTGATGCAATAGACCAAGGTCAAAGACGACAACAGGAGAATCACCCTCTCATTAAACGCCAGACAGATCTTCACTTGTTCTTCACACACTACTGCACGTCATAGGTACTTTTTCACGGCAGCCCACTACATTCACTGAAGCACGCTGGAAGACTCGTGGTGAAGCAAAGTGGATTAGTCATCTCCCCATACACACGATAACACTTGGTTTTGCTCTGCTCAGTCGGATAATAAATTTTTTCCAGTATGCGTGCGCATTTCTATCGCCTAATTAATTCTATTTGCCACCAAATTCTCACAATTAGTAGTCAAGGCCAACAACGTAGACTGTTTGAGCCCTTTTTTTTATTGACCACGGGATAGCTTACGCAAGCGTTCTTTTCTAGTGACCGTAAATAGCTCCTCATTAATTCCCAGCAATTACGTAATTTTAGCTCCAGTCTTGCTAATCAAATAGATTTCTTACAATATAATTCACGATGTTGTAAAAACGCTGCATGTAGGTTTCAGCTGTCATTAATACCTACTACATATAAAAAAAATATATGATTATACGAATCTTCATTTTGAAATGTCGTCTGCAGTATCTTTCCTGCCGAAGATTAGATAGAGAGCTAGTTATAAACTTTGGTGCCGCCTGGAAATGCGGGACAGTCTGATACGCCATTTTAATGCAGAATCTATTTATTTAAAAGCCTTCATGTTATATGGTACTATGAAAAGTGAACAATTTTGGAGTGTCATATTTTATGAGAAAGCTGTTTTCATAAAAAGTTATTATAATCTGATCTATAGATTGAAGATTTTTATTATTATAAAACAAATCTGTTGGGTTCCGTAATTATTTTCTATGTCTTTTAATGAACTTCAACTTACTTTGTTGCTTTCGTGGGTATTAACATGCGGAATGTCAGAAACTTGTACGTTGTTATTAATGACCTCTGCCTTTTCAAGAGGTGGACTCATTGTCTCCTTGTAGTGTGGAGAAATCTTGCACATTACCACATATCCTAGCCCGTAGGTCATCTGTAAAATGCATGCACTTGATCACTATGACTGTTCCCGGCGAAACGGTATCATTTTTGTGTGCTAGTTTAACGGCTCAAATTCTAACTCGCCTGTAATTAAATTTCATTAAAGTGGGCCGCTTAGCTCGGGTTACTTAATTACCTAAATACGAGGACGAATGCTAAGATAATCCTTTAAACAGCCATGTGAGGAAAATTATAGTATGAAACAAAACAAACTATATGTATTCATCCCTTAAATGTACGCTACTAATAAGATGCAATGTGCACCTTGCTCGTAAGTGTACTTTTCTATTCGGATACTTCCTATCTTTTGCGATAATAATAATAGCTTATTTAGAATTTTGTCGCTGTTCAGGGTATGGATTGCTAAGCGTGCTGCTGATACCCGATGTGGTGCCTGAATGGTTATTCCAAAGTGCAGCTCGCAACGCATAAAGGGCAAATCAAGACGCAGGTGACTTTAAATAATAAGGCGTGCACAGAAATTTTGTAACGATGGTATTGTTTGATGTTTGCGCCGAGTGTGTCTAACTTTATGGTACGACAATGGAACTGTTTAATTCTGTTCATTAACTCCGGGTAATAGATAGCTGATGGATTGTGTAAAGTGCCAGAGTATAAACCCACGTAACTCGCACGTCAATCAAATGTAAGAAGACAAATGATAACGTATAAGCTGCCTGTCGAGTAACGGGAAGTTGACATCAAGTTAAAAACATTTTCGGATGTAACCTCATAAGCCTTATTTTTAAAAGAGAAGTAGGAAAAGCGGATCATCAACTACGAGAGTAAAGACTGTATTTTTTAAACCAATATTAGAGGATTCTGCCACAACGATGATGAAGATTGTTATGGGTAATTTTTATTATGGGTTGGACTGTCTGTTAAAGACTATAACATGATAAAGTGAATTCTCAAATGGCGTATCTCTGGAGGACGGCGACCCCAAACATCGAGCGAAGCGAGCTTGTAAATAGCTCGAAGATACATATATCTTATAATTAATTGATCACTACGAAGATCTAACTTAAATAGTACCAACGTAACGATCTTTTGCACAAAAAGCAGCGCCAAACGCAGACATTGATCAGAAATGGAGAAGCCCTGTAGACCCATCATTGTGTGTCAGGCTCACCACGCATCTGATTATTCCCACAGAACTAGCTGCACGAAAGGTTATCATGTTTATTAGCTATACATTGGCTATTAGCCTACAGCGAATAAACACGCACACATGCTTGAAAATCCATAAAGAATTGTCTAACAAGTTAGTAATAGATATACCTATAATATAATTGGTGAAATATACGCATTTGGTATTATTGAACTTGTTTTCGAAGGTTTAATGCGTTGTGTAACCGGTGACGTTGGTGAAGTAAGATAGAAGTATGGAATGTTGTCACAAATATGTTTGGTTCCAAAGCGCTGGGCATCGTCATTGTACAAAATTGGCGAAATTTCGAAAAAGGATTTTGGTTTTGCCGCATTCAGCTGCCAAATTGGTGTTGCACATTATCCATCAGGTCCATATTCTAACATAACTTAAGTATAATTTTAAAAATCTCCAAATTTGAGGTCTTGCTGCAGGTACAGAATAAACATAGGCAGAACCAGTTTGGAGTACATCCTAGTCTGCTTTGAAAATAAACGGCGCACAAGATCTCGAAGAATCCCGTTCGTGCACCCTAAGGAATTTCTGTTCAATTAGGCGTTTGTAACACTAATCTTTAAAATTCAACCAAAAAATTATATTTCGTTTCTTGTTAGGAGGATCTGTTGAATTAATTAATGCAATGCATAGTTATCGTCATTACGACACATACCCAGTGAAAATGTTAAAGTTCTGCATTTCTAAATTTAGGGGAAAACGTATGACAATAAAATATTTACTTACCGTAAATGCAAGGACCAGAAGCAAAAGCAAATAAGCCTCTCCGGTATTAAATGACTTCACAAAAAAATTACCTACGGAGGACCCGAAGAATGCCCTACAAACACGCAGAACATATAACAGTTATACAACAAGAATTGTTATGATACCGAAACATAGATTAGGTGCAGAATGTATCGGAAGTTACATGTTTAGCTGTATTTAGAGGAACAACTAAAACAATAAAAATATGTCAGGTTTCATTATTTTTTATATAGGTTAATGTAAGTGTTCTAACTGAGTTCTTAAATGAAATCCAAAGGATAGGACTTACTACTACTATTACTGATAATAATAATAACAGTGCTCAAGCTGCATGTGGTAATGTGTAATTGCAACCATTTTGTTATCATGGCGTTATTCACAACATATTATAAACATGTTACTAAAAATCCTAAAATCTGAAACATCTTGCAAATAAGGTTCATATCGATTAGCTATAAAGTGCTAAATATAGTATTGCGTAAACAAAAATATGGGATTAATTCATATTTCGTGACATGCGTTAATGAACTGCGGACGAGGCTTCAAGTGGACCCAACGTGGCACATTTTTTGCTCGTCAACCTGTTAGGTTGAAGAGCAAAAAATGAAGAGCAAAAAAAGAGATTGTCCCTATAATTGGATTAGCCGAGAGCATTAAAAACATAAATTAAAATAAAAACTCACATTGTTTTTCTCATCCTTTTCTTAGTGTGGAAATATATTTTTTTGTGAGAATATAAAAAAAATTATTGAAATTTATTCAAAAACTTGTAAAAGACTCATAGACCAGATGTGCTTGTGAAGGCTATAGTCGAACGCGCTAAAGTACTCAACGTCGGCACCTAAAATAAGAAAGAGAAGGCAAAACTGCCCAGAGGTGTCGGTGGGAAATATATTAACATAAGCTGAAGGTGAATGATGAGCGGCTTTAAGCCAGTTGGAGAGCTGTGCTAGTCCCCGTGGTAGATTTGTCGGTAGCGTGTTTGCTGCTAGTCTTTGGGACATATTGTGGTCTACGTTCGAACCCGAGCGTAGGTAGACTTTATTTCGCGTCGGGAGCCAGCCGTGTGATGAAACGCTTAAAGGCAACACTAGATGTAAAACTCAAAATATAGCGAGCAGCTCTGCAAGACAGCGAATCAAGCTACTGGGATACGACGTTTTCTAGTGATATGATTTAAAAGGTTATTATGAAAATCCTGGTTACGAACATTGGGCCTCAATTTTAGGCATTTGCTACGATAGTGTATAATGGCAGCCAGCGTTTTCTGACTACAGAACTTACTAAATCGGCATCTTCTTCTCTTCCTGGTCATGCGTCGGTATGTGTTCTAATATTATTCAAAAGTTCCTTCGTCAAAATTTAAACACTTTTTTATGTGTAGAATTCTATCCTGAAGCTTAGTCAGTAGTTACTTCTTTAAATCCTAACAATTTTTTTGTATATCGTTATTGCGCCCTTAAGAATTGGCCAAGAGTTACTTTTTGAGTTCCGACAACTTCGTTACATATAATTATTTTGTCGTGAAATTTAGTTAAGAGTTACTTCTTTGATTCACCAGTTTTCTTTGTATATAGAAATTCCATTCCAAAATATGGCTGATAATTTTTTCTTCAAAACCTATCCTGATTCTTGAGAAGGAGCTACTCGTTTTCCAGTCAACTTCTTTGTATGTAGTGATTCTGTCCACAAATCTAAACAACAGTTCCGACTTTGGCTTCTTCCTTGCCTGTGGGCATTTTGCCCCAAAACCTGGCCAAAATTTTCACTCTCTACTCCTAGCAACTTTTTGTATGTGGGATTCCATACCGATACTTATACAGAAGGTCTGTCTTTGATTTTCAATAATTTTTCTTGTATCTTGGAATTCTATTCTGAAACTTGGCCAAGAGCCGTTTCTTTGAGTTCTAACAACTTTCTTTTGTGTAGGAGTTCCGTCTTGCTTTCTACTGAAATTATCCTCTGCTTAAAATGACCCTGGTGCACAACCGTTTAAATGACCTTCTGCTATCCAGAGTTGATGCACCTGCGGCTAGTTGCTGGGCATTCATCAAGCCTTACCGCCGCGTTACGTCCGTGACCATTCACGGACTCTCGTCTGTTTTTGCTCAAGGTTCCTAGTTCCGATATTCTAGGTGGAGTTGCGCAAGCGCCTCAAACTTGCCGAAAGAGCCTAGTGAAGTAGTTGATGAAATTATTACTCCGCATCTTGTCCCTTAGAAAAGCCTCGAAGACGTCCTAATCCGTCCTTTTGGACGGATCTTCTCTGTTTCTCTTGATCTTCTCTGATGCCTTTTGCTGGCATCGTACTCCAAGGCCATGTGCCACCTCTTCTGGGAATCTTTCGACGGCCTTGTCTTTAACTGCCCACGCTGTTGGCGCCGCCTCGGACGTCGCCTTTTCCATGCTTCAAACCACGGTTTTGCCCAAAAGCCAACTCTGGGCACAGGCGATGGATTCTAACTGTAAAGCCCATGTGTCGACCGTCGTGTAGCACGGCTGTGGCAAGTTGGGTTGGGGATTGGCAGTGGAGCAACTTTTAGAATGTCCATTTGAGAGTGTAGCCATCTTTATATATATATATATATACATATATATATAGATATATATATATATATATATATATATATATATATCATGTATAGAAATATGATTCTAGAACTGGAAGCGGAAACAAATCTTTTAAAAATGGTAAACTTGCCCAAATTAGTACTACGTTATATGAAAGAAAGAAACTCTTTTCCGAAAAAATGTGCAAACAATCAGTGTGATCTTACGCGTATTACGCAATTAGAATAAAACTTCCACTTTGCCAATTTACGGAAGCGATTTGAGATGAATGAATAGATACATATAATAGATTAGGCCGACTCGCAAATTTTGCCTCGGGCCTCTCTTACTGTTAAAAGTCTATTTCAATATATACATATATATATATGTATATATAGACCACGACCCACATATATATATATATGTGGTATAACATTCCTCTGAATACAATTTGTCTTCGTAAGTAGTGCATTGAATTGCATCATCCTTTATTTCAACAGAATACGAAAGATAAAGTTGCTAACTCTCGACAAAATGCAAATATATAGCTTTTATGTACGAGCTATTGTGCCGACGTTTTTAGAGCTTACGAAAAGTGCGTTACTTTGCTACGGTTTTTTAGAGTTTGCGCATACTACATATAATCGATAGTCTTTCACACTCCATCTTATAATTCTCTTCTCTTATAGCCAATACTTGCGGCCACATTGGATTTTTTTTTAAAGTCTACGTGATAAGTCCTCGCGTAACATCGTGTTTTTAGAAAGCTACGGATGTATACTGCATACCACTGAGCGGAATAGCTTATAGCGTTCCAAATTACACCCCAACTAGTGAAACTCGTTGCCCCGAGGCAGCTACCGTAATGTATTACAAGCTAATGTATTACAAGGCAATGTACTTCACTTTCAGCATCACAAAAGTTGGTAGTAATGTACCGCATACAGTACAAGCCAGATATTTCGCTCTGATGATCTAATTTGACTATTTTATGTTATTGTAGATTTTGTACACCGATGATATTTTAATTAATTTTGACCGAACGAAAAAAAAGTAGATTATCAAACATCTACTGAGAGAGGCAAAACACCGAACAAATCTGGTAAAGTGAGTTGAAAATTTTGAAATCACGCCATCATCAAGAAAAGAGTCTACATGTACGCGATACATTTGAGGCCACTGGATTCATTTGGCATGCCACGCGCAAACCAATAACAGTCACTCACGAAGAAAATCAAATACTAGTAAGTCAAACGTTTTTTGAAAAACTTGGAACATAGGCAAGAGTTCCTCTTGAGCATAGTGTATCTTCGACATATCTGTATTGTACAATCGGTGTTTAGACAGCTATTTCGTCTAAAAAGGTGACTGGTCCTATCTCTTTTCGTGCTGCTCTTGCAAGGCTTGTATTTCTCTATACTACGAGACATCATCCTAATACGGCTAATTCAACAATACAGTAGCGAAGTCCTCTTTTCAACGAAAAATTTCTACATAATAACCTGGCGCAAATTTCTGAATACAGAGTTGCCAAATAAATGGCCAGTGAGGTACAATATCAGATCCCACGCAAATGGACTCCTACTACTTTAGCTTTATCACATGAGATTTAGACTTCGTTGTTATGGTTAGTCAAAAAATCATTTAAATGGCTACAATAGTCATTGTTGTACCTGTCGTATTTTAGACACACGTGAACCAAATTTTTCGTCCACGGATCACAGTTCTACAGTGTTTTACAGTGTTAGGATTATGATATTACCAAAAAATGGCGGAACATAATTTATCAGAATAGCGCTTATTTAGCTTAGTTCTATTATATTAAAATAACCAAATATTTTTTTTAATTTTGGCTTCAAAATGCCCAGTACTTTTCCTATAAGCCAATATCAGAAGTATTCTACAAGGGCATCCCTATAGCTTTTAAAATGTTTAATTGGACACAGGGTAAGTAGTCATTGACGCCTAGTTGTAAATGGACACGCAGCGTTGTGAATTATACTAATAGGAGTTCTGAAACGTTGCAGACCAACTAATAGTTTCAAATAAAGATCTAAGTATTAAAGAAGATCTCTATCCGTAATATATTCAAAACGAACCTTACTGCGCCACCAGCAGTAGGTTTTAATCGAAGTTTTCTTCTTAAGAAGCCTCAGTAATGCGTAAATAAATATGGAAAACACGTCCAAGATTTGAAAGTAATGTCATAAGCATAGGTTCTGTGACGATTTCAGTTGTCATCAGACATAACTTTTAAAAAGGAAATCTAGGCCACTCACGTTGAAGGAAGCACCATAGCGTATGGTTTCATTGATGATACTTGGCGCGTCGAGATTTCTTTAAAAAGTTAGTAACTATATTTGTATAGTTTTTTTACTGGCGAGTCAGACAACACCATAGCATCATCGACATTTAAAAAGGACGATATTCTCACAGGGTTATTTCAGCAAAGACACCACTTTAGTGTAAGCCTAACAAAAGGTTTCTGTCAGAGGCAGGATACGGGGTCTCCATGGTAACTGCACACGCGTATTGATCTTCGTTGTGAGTGAGGATAACAGCTTAGAGCTCAAGCCTTATGATTCAAAGCTGTCTATACAAATAGAGCGGATTTTGAGCGTAATTAAATCAGCTCAAGAACTGTTATTTTGATATGAGTGCTACTTTTTGTATAACAAGTGACTGAATAAATCCAGCCACATGTGTGGTGGAAGGCTGCGTACGCAGCAAAAGCATTTCCTTAGATTCACTGAATAAGAACAATAGCGAAACTAGAGTCTCTGGATAAACAATCTTCCTGAAAGCCACGAGAATAAAGTTGGATGTTGTGCTTAACTGATACTTACGTAACTGTAAAAATATCGCAAATCTACGTCACTGTAGTTGAAATTACAAAATCTCAATAATTAATACAATTATATTTTTCTTATGTTTTAAAAGTCGTTTATAAGTTCATCTGTGTGAAGTTTGTCTGTCTAATGTGAGTTTATCTGTTTATTAGGGTACTAAAATCAAGTGTTTGCTATTCTGTGTGTCTGCTGCCGGTCCTAAACAAATCGCCTCCGTAAAATGGCTTTGAGCTAATTTTTATGGGTTGGTTGAGCTTTATTTTGGGTGTGCACTCCAGCACTTGCAAGAAATCAAAACATTTTTTTGAGAGAAAATTATTTATTTTGTAAAACATAATGCTAGCTTGGGCAATTTTGCCTATTTTTGGCGATTTCTTCGACTAGCGTTAAGAATATATGAATAGTTAATATTAGAAGATTACCTTTTTAAGCACTGCATATAAATAGATTGCTTTTTCCATCTTTAGAACTTTAAATTAAGATAGTAGTTTTGCCGAAATAGTGCATACCGAATGAAGCATATGATGCAGAATTTGGAGAACAGGTTTATTGAAATAATGAAAGAGGATCATAAAAGCAGCTATTGTACTTTTACGTGTACAAATGTGGTAAATTTGATTGCTACTTACCTATAATTTTGACGCCAAATAGCAAGATACTTGCAATATGGATACCAATTAATTCCGATAAAATAAGGAGGCGACTTAGATATTCAAATGGGAAATTTTATGTTTCATCAGGATAACGCAGCTAGTGCAGGGGGAAATCAGTTGTTAACATAGGGTAGTTCATAAATGAACTTCACCAAAAAGCAGCGTCACTGACAAGATGTGAGAAATTGACTGGATGATATGAATATTGAGGTAATTGTAATAGGGATAATAGTAAACGTGTCGATGTACAGTTCGATAATATTTTACGTTTGTAAGTACCAGAACAGGCTGGTAAGATAGCTGCGGCCTGACAAAAGGATTGTTGGAACATCCCAATGGAAAAACAGAATGCGCGGAGGAAGGCAACTGCAACGGGATAGACAATACTAAATGTATTAAAGTTACAGATTCTGTTAAAGTGGACGTCACATTAGCAATAAGTTAAGCCACGGTAAACAGGAGCAAGATGATTTCCGCGGGGCAGTTATAGGTTGGTCACAATATGACAATTAAAATACATGGGCTAATTACAAAAAAGTAACTGCTGGGATATTCCGACACGAAATGATCACTACAGCAGGGTAGATAATAGCGGAGCATAGCGAAACAGTTCCACTGGGTCGCTATAACTTGGTGTATATATACTCTTGTTTTGCTAACTCAGCACTAATATTAATTACTCTTAAATGTCATATAATTATTCGGCATTATTAGCAATGGCTCCCATTAAACATCATATACTCGTTTTATGTCAATAACAGTCAGTTTTCTTGGACATCCTACACTAACATTAAGCCAAAATTTACCTCTGTCAGGTACTAGAAAGGACTTCGCAGTGCGAGATAAGAAAAAATACGATAGGCTTCACATAAACAACACAAATGGTTTCTTTAATTTTTGAAACAGCGCCGCCAGCCATCGTAAGGGATGGAATAAATAACAGTCAGGAATCAACCTTAATCGTCAAAAACGCAAAACGACGTCAATTTGTAGAATATCGTCTGTCTTCGTATGTGTTGCGTCGTTATATCCTCTCACGAATGTGCGGTACGGGTTCGTCACTTGAATCGGATCGATTTAGTAAAGAACGCACGAATAAGTGCACCAATGCGCAAGGCACTTGCCATCACACTGGCGCAGCAAGGCAAGTGAAGACTATATATTGGCAATAACATAATGACAGCAGTAATAGTGTCATAAGGACGTGGCTTCCCTGGTAACATTAATGTACTACCACGACGACATCCCGAACCGAAAAAAAAGCGAATAAAACGAGTGGTTTGCTGTTAATACATACACGTCACAAAACTCAAATCAGTAGAGTCTTTGGCCGGTAGAGTTGTAGTAAATGTATATGCAAATACAGTATTCCTCAGAGAAGTGACGTTTAACCAAGTTTCAAGGCACACTAATTACATACAAAGAAGCTGTTTGAAAGATATCTTGGTGTTGTTAGAACGTACATACAAAAATAACTGCAAACTCAAAAAAGCAACTCTTCACTAAAATTCAGAATATAATTTCCATGTACAAATAAGCTGCTAGGACCTAGAAATAACTCTTGGTGTTAAAACCTGAAAGAATGCCTCCTGGCTAAGTTTCAGGACAAAGTTTTCACACGCAAAGGAGTTGTAAGAGCTCAAAGGTATAGCTCTTGGCCAAGTTTCAGGGTACAATAATCATATACAAATAAATAGTTAGAATTCAAAGAAGTAACTGTTGACTAAGCTTCGGGACAGAATCCTACGTACGAAGAAGTGTCTAAAACTCACAAAAGGAATTTTTGGCCAAGTTTTAGAGCCGAATTTCCACATATAAAAGATTTTAGAACTTAGAGAAGCAACTCTCGATATATAAAGAAGTTCATGAGAACTTTGTCCTGAAAGTTGGCCAAGATTAATTTTTTTTGGCTCCAGCAACTTATTTATATGTGGGAGTTCTGTCCTTAAACTAGGCCAAAAATTTCTTCTATAAATTCTAAGAGCCCAATTGTTTGATTTGAAATGTAGTCAGAAGTTACCCCCTTGACTTCTGACGACTTATTTGTATGTGGGAATTCTATCTTGAAACTGGGCTAGAAATTATTCCTTTGGGTTTTAACATCTGTTTTCTATGATGAACTTCTGTTTTGAAACTCGGTCATGAGTTACTCTTTCGAGGTCTTTTTTGTATGTGCTCAGAAACTTAGCTAAGGGTTACTTTTTGAGATTGAAAAACTTATTTCCATGAAGAATTCTTTCCTGAAACATAGTCAGGAGTTACTCCTTCAATTTCTAACAATTCATTTACATGTAGGACTTTTGTCCTAAGGTTAGGCCAATAATTACTTCCTTGAACTCTAAGGACTTATTTGCATGTGGAATTTCCGTCCAGAAAAATGGTTATTTCTCCAATTTCCACAATTTCTTTGTGTGTGGTAGTTTTGCTCTGAACTCTAGTCAGCAGTTACTCCTTCGAGTTTTAACAACTTTTTTGCATGTGAGAATTTCGTCCTGAAACTGGACTTTTAAGCTTTAAACATTGTATTATATATGGGGATTCCACCCTGAAACTTGGCTATGAGTTACTCCTTCAAGTTTCGACAGCTTCTTTGTATGTGGAAATTTTTTTTTGAAACTGGCCCAAAAGTTACTCTTCTGACTTTCGAAAATTCCTTTGGGTTTTAAGAACTTCTTTGTATATGGAAACTCTGTCATAAAACAGATCCAAGAGTTACTTTTTTGAGTTTCAACAATTTCTCTGTTTGCGAATTTTGTTTTGCTAGGAGTTACTCCTTTGAGTTTTAATAGTCTTTTTATATGTGGAAATTGTGCCCTAAAAGGCCAATAGTCATTCCTTTGAGATTCAACAGCGTGCCTGTACGTGAAAATTCTGTTCCGAAATAATATCTGGGGTTACTCCTTTCAGTTTTAAGAACTTCTTCGCATGTGAGAATTCTGTCCTGAAATCTAATCGGCAGTTATTCGTCTGGTTTCTAACAAACTATTTATACGCGGAAATCCTGCGCTTAAACCAAGACCTAGAGTTATTTCCTCAAGTTTTAGCAACTTCTTTATGTATAAGGATTTTGCCTTAAGATTTTCTCCGCAGTTATTCCTTTAATTTCTGCTCTGATATGAACTCTGCCCTGAAACTGGGCCAGCCGCCTCCTTTTGAGGTTTAACAAGTTCCTTGTAAATTTTTGTTATGGAGCGTCGCCAGAAATTACTCCTTTCAGTTTTAACAGTTTCTTTGTATGTGGCAAATCGATTATGAAACGCGGCAAGTTTTTTGGGTGCAATTTATTTGTACATAGAAATTCCGTTCAAAATTGAGTCAGGAGATACTCCTCTAAGTTTTAACAATTTCTTCCTGCATGGCTGTTATACCCTGAAACTAGGTATTCCTTCGAGTTTCAAAAACTTTCTTTCTGTGTGGAAACTCGTTGTAGGTTTCGAGTATTAGATAGCTCTTTTCTCTGTCAAAACGGCCAGATAATCAATCCCACTGGGGCCTTCGAATACCGGATGACTCTTTCCTCTGCCACAACGGTCAGACGTCCAAACTAATTGGGACTTTCAAGTACTTATAGCTCTCTTCTCTGCTGCAACAGCCAAATAGCCAAACTTGCTGGGGCTTTCAGGTTGGATGGCTTTTTTCCCTACTACAGCCAAATAACCAAACTCGTTGTGGTTTAAAGTGCCAGATGGCTCTTTTCTACCACAACAGTTAGACCGCTAAACTCATTGGGGCTTTCAAATACTGAATAGTTCTCTTTGCTACCACAACGCCCAGAGAGCCAAACTCGTTCGGGCTTCAAGTACCAAGTGGTTCTCGATGTTGATGGCCGAACCCATTGAGAGTTTTAAGTACCAAATAGCTTTCTCCTCTGTCATAACGG